CCCCCCCCCGTCCCTTTCTCCTGCTCGCATGCGCTCTCTCTCTCTCTAAAAAAAAATAATAAAATAAAAATTTTAAATCTGCTCTGCCTGACCTCAGTACTCTCTGTCTCCCTTTGTAGCTTGATTTTTCTCCACAAATGTTTGAATGAATGAGTGACTGATTAATAGATAATGAGCATAAGGATTAATAAATTAATATCAGTGTATTAATCACGATTCTCTTGTTGGAAATCCTATAGCCTGTCAGCCAGCACGCGTGGGGCACGGACACAGTTCTAAGTGTTTTTATGTGGATTTTGCAATTTAATGATCATGACAACACTCTGAGGTAGATTCCGTTATTATACCCGTTTTCTGGATGAGGAGATTGAGGCACAGAGAGGCAATCTCTTTCCTAAGGTGTCAAAGCTGGTGAATGGTGAAGCCAGGATATGAATTCTTGGCCTTCCAGCCTTGGAGCCTGGCCTCTCAGCCCCTCTGGGTCTCTGTTTCATCCTTTCTCCAGCGACACTGGCCATGGACCAGCCAGCCGGCCTGCAGGTGGACTATGTCTTCCGGGGTGTGGAGCATGCCGTGCGGGTGGTGGTGTCTGGGCAGGTGCTGGAGCTGGAGGTGGAGGACCGGATGACGGCTGACCAGTGGCGGGGCGAGTTCGATGCCAGCTGTGAGTGGGCCTGCCTGGGGTGGTTTCACCTGTCCTTCCCTGGGATCACCTTCTCCCGGAAGAGGAGGTCAATCAGGAACCCGCCCATCTGCGTCTTCTACCTGACCAGACTCCCTAAGGTGGGGTGGGGGTGGAGGGCTCGTCCCTCAGGCCAGAGGCCCTGGAGTGGGGGCAAGTCGGAAAGCTTGGATGCATTGCTCTTGGGCTGGGCAGGTGGTCAGACTTCAGGAAGGACTTTTCTCTCTACCCAGTCATCGAAGATCTGACTCACAAGACAGGGAACTTCAAACAGTTCAACATCTTCTGTAACATGCTGCAGTCGGCTCTCACCCAGGTAGGGGCAGGTTGGGAGCTAGGGGTGGATCCCTGGGGAGGTGGATGCCCATTTGATGGATGCAAGGCCCTCTACCTTTTCTTTCCTTAAAGGGACAGGCCTATCTTTTTCTTCTTTCCCAAATGTAAGTGGTTTATTCTGATTCTAGTGATGGTTACTCTAATGTGGAAAATTCCTGTCACAGAGAAATGTCAAGAAGAAAGGAAGAATCACTCTATTAACACTCATTCCTGTTAATATTTTGGTGAAAATCACTCCAGCCGTTTCACCACTTCTCTGTTTACTTGTGAAAATGTGTGTGTGTGTGTGTGTGTGTGTGTGTGTGCAGATGTATAATTTTATATAGTTGATATATTTCCCAAAGTATTCTGTAACCTGCTTTTAAAGCTGTTTTTTTTAATGTTTATTTTTGAGGGAGAGAGACAGGGGCGAGTGGGAGAAGGGCAGAGAGAGAGGGAGACACAGAATCCAAAGCAGGCTCCAGGCTATGGGCTGTCAGCACAGAGCCTGATGCGGGGCTCAAACCCATGAACTGCCAGATCATGACCCAAGCTGAAGTCAGACGCTTAACCGACTGAGCCACCCAGGCACCCCTCTGTAACCTGCTTTGAAAAGATTAAACCACATCAGGCGGTTAAGCCTCCGACTCTTGGTTTTGGCTCAGGTCACGATCCTGTAGTTTTGTGCGTTCAAGCCCCACGTCAGGCTCTGCGCTGACAGCGTGGAGCCTGCTTGAGATTCTCTTCTTTCTCTCGCGCTCGCTCTCTGCCCCTCCCCCACTCATGCGGTCTCTGTCTCTCTCAAAATAAATAAATAAACTTAAAAAGTTAAAAAAGTAAAAGATTAAACGATATTTCATAAAAATTTAGTCACATCAGTGAGTATAGCTACTCAGTCACGTAATTTACTGAGCATTTATAGTGTGCCAGGCACTGTGATAGGCGTTGGGATACAGCACTAAACACAAGAGATAAAATTCCTGTCCTTTATGAAATGGACATTCTAGTGGGAGAAACAGAAAATTGAAAAAATGTATAACGTCAAGTAGTTAGAAGTGTTGACAGTGGCGGGGGGGGGAGCAGGTTGGACGTTGGAGTGTCAAGGGTGTTATTTAGGCATTTTAAAACTATGACCTACATTATTTCTCTGATTATAGGTATTTGCACTCACATATTAAAGTGTGTGACTTAGAAACTGACCTTTCTTATTGTTTTTTTTTTAATGTTTTAGTTATTTTTGAGAGAGACAGAGACAGCATGAGTGGGGTAGGGGCAGAGAGAGAGGGAGACACAGAAACTGAAGCAGACTCCAGGCTCTGAGCTGTCAGCACAGACCCTGACGTGGGGCTTGAAGCCATGAACCGAACGATCATGACCTGAGCCGAAGTTGGACGCCCAACTGACTGAGCCACCCAGGCACCCCTCTTATTTTTTTTTATTTAATGTTTATTTATTTTTGATAAAGAGACCTAGCACGAACAGGGGATGGGCAGAGAGAGAGGGGGACACAGAATTCCAAGCGGGCTCCGGGCTCTGAGCTGTCAGCACGGAGGCCCACACAGGGCTTGAATTCATGAACCGCGTAATCATGACCTGAGCTGAAGTCAGCTGCTTAACTGACTGAGCCACCTAGGTGCCCTGAAACTGACAGTCTCTTATAATCCCCCTTATCTCCCCTGCTCCAGACTGCTAACACTTCATGTGTATGTGTAGGCAGTATAGCACAATGGTCAAGAGCATGAATTCTGAAGTCAGACACATCACTGCCGCTTACTAGCTGGAAGCCCTGGGCCAGTTACTTCCCCTTCATGCCTTAGTTTTCCTATCTGTAATGTGGGATAAAGTAGTCCCTGTTTCACAGCGTTGTGAAGATTAAAGAAGTTCTGTGTATAAACCTTAGAATGGCGTCTGGCTCGTAATAAGTGCTTTATAGATATTGTCTGTTTTTATTATTGTCATCAACTTGTGAGTTTGTCATCCTTGTTAGTGGTTGCTTAGTATTCTGTTACGCTCATTCAGCATGATTTACATAACCCAGTTTTTTGTATCATGGCCCCTTTGTGGTCTTAAAAATTATTGAGGCCATCAAAGACCTTTTGTTTATGCAGGCTTTTTCTATCAATATTTGTTTGCCGTATTGTAAATTAAGTTGTTTTATAAATTAAAACTGAGAATAACTTCAAGATATTTATGAGTTCACTTAAAATAGCCATAATGAGCCTGTTAGGTGTTAAATTAAATAACATTTTAATGAAAAAATACATTTTCTAAGACAAAATAAATTAGTAGGAGACACAGCATGGTTTTACATTTTTGCAAATCTGTTTAACGTCTTGCTTAATAGAAAACTGCTAGATTTTTTTTTTTTTT